TTTGTCCATCTTTCTTGCTCTTTTTTATTGCATTCACTACTTACAACTTCACTGAAAATCAAATTCAGAAAAGAGAGAAAGCAGACGACATAGTGCAGTCAAATAAAACAGACTTTCTATTCCTGAAATGCCAATGTTCAGGGTTTTTGAAAATGTTTTTATTTTGCATATCAGGGAGGTTTGTTAGGTGATTCTTGAAATCTCACGGTGTGATCTCAGTACGACACTTTTTTCTTAAAGCCCGTTGCAATGGCAACTATTGTGGTTTGTTATGCGACCTTTTTGTGGTCATTTTGATCCTATAGAAAATAATGTTAAACTGAATCAAATTGTGTAAGCTATAATTCAGAACACTGTGATGACTAAACTAAATGTCTCCTCAGAAGGATAAGACAAAATTGAAAATCGCCCGAAAAAAATGCATCAAAAATCGCCAGCGTAAACGAGATGTCAGTAAAAATGAGCTTGAAAAGTATGACTTTTGCAGTATTCTCAATGAATAAGCATGGATTCATAAACTTAAGGTAATAAACTCAAGATAAAAACGTTTTTGAAATCAGTCCATTGATACCTTTCGCTCGCGATCTTCGGTCTGAGGGGTTATAAAGAATTGACCACGAATAAGCTTACATATTGACACAAAAAAGTGCATTAAGTAAAATTGTATCAGATAACCAGGTCATAGAAGTATATCTGCGATAAGAGCTTTACTGTTTTTGTAGATTTTGAGTCAAAGTGACACATGTTTGCGAACCTTATAGGAAACCCAACTTTACGGGGTCGCAACTTGATATCAATTGAGCCCTGAAATCGCGCATAAACGCTATTAAAGATGTCTCCAAGTATTTCAAATATTTCAATCTTTTCGTTGAGCCTTGGAGATAAAGGTAGAATTAAAACAGCCATGATCTATATAATAATTATCTGTTACTTGGATGGGTTCATTTGCAAGGACTAATCCAGTAGGTAAAATCGCACCCAATGCGTAAACGAACAATCACCTCCTCTTATAAACAGTTCAGGACGATTTGTTTTGTGAGAAATCGCCTTAGAAAATCATATCAAACAAGCTAAACGCATCTAAATACACACAAAAAGGTTATCCCAATGTGATATTTAATGTTGTTGTACCTCTTTTAGAGCTGTTTGCTTAACAAATACTGTTTTCTCAACAAGTAAAGTCATAGCTTTAGCTTGTTTGGTGGGGCCGTCCTGGTCATCACTAGTACGTTCGCTGCTAATAGATTGTCAAACTCGGAACTAAAAATGGCTTGCGTGTCGTCAGTGGCTGTGGGGAGCCGGAGTTGAAAGACTTCTAGTTTATTTTACTTATAAGGACGCGAGAAAAGACTTACTTCAAAGAAAGCCATCTAAAATAACATGGTTGGTGAAATTTAGTATCTGTTTGAGTGACAATTACTAGATGAATGCAGCAGTTAAGTTAGAACGACGACAGTTGAATATGTTGTCTTTTTGCAGCTTGTTAAGTCGTGTCTAATTCATAGGTTTCGATAGTCTCCATATTAAAATGTACTGTTGCTTTTGGAGTAGTATATCCCCTACATACAATGCCGCAGTTACAAACATTGCAGATAAACGACTTCTGATGAACTTTCGTTCATCAAAATATATAAAATAAAAATAAAGATATCATAGAACAAGCTACATGCGAAACAAAATATTATTTGCCATTTTTTACATCATTTTTTTGTCATTTTGACGTCTCAATACATTTTCAAGTCAGTCAAGAAAATCAAAAATATTCATGTGTTTGCGCACCGCACAATCCTATATATACCTTAAAAAATATCAGTTAATTTCGTCTTTTTTACTTTAAAAAAAGCGTGTCATAGATTTACTCATCATAAATAAGAAGTGTTATGTTTACCGTCCCCAAACTCCGCGCGTTGCCTACGAGAAGGGAACCTCCTATATGCACGAACTTTCAATGGGGAAGAATAAGCAGTTGAGATCTTGCAGTTTTTACTAGATACAATTAAGCTTAAATGCTTTMTATGTTATGAAGTGAGAGGTACTATTAAAATCAAACCATAACAGCAGCTATCAGAAGTTTACTTATCTTGTGCTGCAAAACTTTGATAAGGAAAAGTGTCATCRATGGAAGTTGTTGTTTTTCTTTAGGAGACTTCGTGGTGGTCTTCAGAAGACGATGGACAACAGCTTGCCAAAACGCTACAGCATTGATTTCAGCAAAAGWGAAGTAAACGTTGAGCTATTTCGGATAGAAATTCRCGTCAAAACTTGTTTGARTGTGGCTTACAAGCCCACAGATTCTGTTTTGAAGGTTACATGTTTGCAAAAGCTATAGTAGTCACGCCATGAATGGCTATCACTARAAACTCTACTTCTAYTTAACAATTCAAAAGCATAGGCAATTATCAGTTGAAGCATTTATTTTCCCAGATTAATTTGTGCTYTTCTATAGTYAGTTTGTTTAAATTTTCAGCACGCAAATATTTAGCTCAAATATTGACACATACCGAATAATTCTGCCGCCATCTTTGCTAAAAATCCGTGACGAAAATGAATGAAWTTGGGAATTGTGATACAAATTTTGAAYCAAATAATGCACTTCTTTGSTGACCTGGATGATTTTTACTGGAAGATTTAGTTGAAGAAGTCAAAGTTCTCGTGAAATGCGTAGGAAATGGCGTTGTTCGTGTCGAACGATTGTTTTGAAAGTAAACCAAGTGAACTAGAAGAACTATATTCTCTCCAAATAAAACCGTGAGAAAAAATTACGAAAGAAGAGCTGTAAGAAAACTATCTTACAATCAAGGAAAAATAGACTCCATCACCTTTTTGTTGTGATTTAGCAAAAGATAAATTAAACAACTCAAGAAATTCAGTTTTAATTGCTTTACTCCCGATGAAATTTCTGCGTTGAAGAGACCGACGAATTTAATCAAAATACTATATTGATATGGTGTTCTGGTTGCCATGCAGTCCAATCAAGTTTTATATCATTAAATAATAACTTTATGCACAAAAATAAAAATWGAAAATCATGTTCATTTGTGTGATGTTGTATGGTAGAATGAGAACGTTCAAGGGTTCCTGCAGTGGATTGAATGGAGGAATTTCGGGAGCGTGTTTCTACTCGCCACCAAAGCACTATCTTTGTTTATATTTTAGGTTAAAACCGAAGATAAAGTCACAAAATACATCTTGTAGCTACAGAACTCAAATACTTGAAACAAATAGTATTCTTGAAAGTAGTATTTATATTTTTTAAAAGTTATAAGTTTCTAGCTGAGATTTGAGACATAAGCGAAACTATTGCGCTGAAAGTGAAACAAATATCACAACAACAACAATTACTTTTAGAAAAGAAATTAAAGAAAATYAAACAAAATCACGAATGGCTTCCGAAGAGTATCTATAATAAGTTCGTTTCTCGAATAACCTTACATATTTAGTAGAAATTATTAAAAGCAACTGAAATACATAACTGCTAGTAATTTGCAACAAGAAAGTGCATCAATTTWCTAGCATTGATAGTTTTAGGTAATTCTGATAATTACAGCAACATTARATACCCAACTTTCCCGCCCAAACAGGCAAAACATCATTGTCGAACGCGCGCGAAGTTTTTAGAACAAATTCATGTCAGAACTGCTCTCGAAATAATAGAATTAGCAGAATCACTGCCCGGGATCTTAGGCTCTCCAAGGATTAAATAATAACAATGCAAAATGCTATGCAAAGAACAGATTGGACAGAACAGATCAAAGGGGAATTACTACTGTACTTGTTTGTGAATTTCATATTTGCAAAGAGAATCCAACTTGTAAACTAAAACCACGTATAGATATTTTTAGATATATTAAACATGCATTCTCCTTTGCTTCATTTTGTTTGAATATTGTCTAGGTGGAAAAACGATGAAATTTTTTGTTGCTAGTGTGCGAGAACGTTTTCAGTGACTATGTCTTTCTAACTGTCATACTTTTTAACCACATATGACTTTTTACAACATGTTATTGACGATTAAAGATAAATAGACTCGAAACAACTTTACAAGATAACATCTTTTTGCAGCGAAGAATAGAATTTCTCTAGATAACATTTGTAATTTCATTTGGAGGTCAAACAATTGGGGAAAATGTTTAGAAGTTTTGAAACAAGAGTCGGTAGTCCCACACAATGACATCTGTAATTTGGGAATWATGAATACCTAGTTAACAGTTTCCGCGCCGATGTTTCATTTAGTAGTATAATTCGACCACCAGATGATAAGATACTGTTCCTCCATTACGTTTTAGATACTATATGATTGAGCTCTTTATCAGATATGGACAAAAGGACTGTTTCTGTTCATTCAATAAGAGKACAGTGTTATAAATAGAACTCAGACTCAAAAACGATCGTTGTAATATAGAACCAAGTGTTTTATGTCGTTCAATASATGTTTCATTGAGTTTTAAAGTCATTAAGTTCTTAATTAATGTGATGAAGGTAATTTCCTTGGTGGTTCAGTGCCGGCGCGTGGCTTCCCCGACCACACAACGACTTTTCTTTTCAGTGGAAGATAGTAAACCATAGAAATTATCAATTCAAACTCCGGTCGGGGATTTCGACTCTTTGGATTTGCCTTTTCCTGTTTTGTGTTAAAGTAATCGGTAGTAATTGCTGTAGGATTAGTATTTAAAAATCTCGTCAAACARTGATAGTTACGAAGTAATCTCTTAATACTGGGCAGTCCGCATGCACAAGCACGACTCGGCTGAGATATTTTAACCTCAAAATTCTAAMTCAAAATATGKTAAAATCAACTCCAAAACCATGCATATARAATTTATRAATMACTGTTGCGTTTTTCAGATGATYGTATTGCGTTAGTAAGCGTCAAAGATTAAGAAAAATCGTGTTGAAGTTTAGATAGTTTGTCAACTTTGAGTGACGGAATAATCCTGGAGCATAGAAAAAGGAAACCCTTTCTAAACAAGAATACATAGAAACCACGAAAGCAAGGAAAGCTTGATTCGCATTTAAGCTTTATTTGTAAACTTGTAGAGACACCTCTCGCCTTGGTACATAGCGCTAGAGTGCTGCTCGAATACTTCACAGAAACAAAAGCTTTCTTCACTCTAGCAAAGTATTCTAGCTCACATATAAACAGTTTCACAATAACAAAAAATAAACTCCAATGACTATTTACAATACAAAATATTGTCTATGTAATAGTTTATATATGCTTTGGATCAATAATTATACTTCCACTAATACGATTAAGGCATTACAACAATCTAAGTGAGTGTCCGTAGTAGACTGTGGGATGMTTCGACACTTTACTTGTACATATTTGTACTTTTTTGGCGCAAAATATGTACTAAAATAGCCAAAATAGTTTGACAAATAGAGATTAAACCTACATGCTCTTTGCGTGCTGTGAATTAGYAGGAGATCAAAGACGAGCTTAATGTGATGTTCTATGTTAGTGAAAGAACGATTTAGGATGAGTTTATCCAGAATGGTTAAATTGTCAAACCCTTTGAATCCTAGGGCATCTAATCCATGATGYGACTGACTTCTATTCATAAGGACAAATAATTTGATTGACTGTTTGAACTAAAAGACCGTATGCTTTCAAAAATTAACTCTTAGGCGTAAAAGCATTTACGACGTGTCTATATTATGTATATCATAARAGAGATTGAGTTCAAAGTCTTTAAAACTCACTAGTCAGACAAAATGTAATAAAAAATGTCACTGCAAACGAGTCTCGTACTTTTATCGATCTCGAATGTCAATACATAGCTCCCGAGTTGCCATTATAAGCTGTACTAGCAGTTCCAAACTGACCTTGGACTGGTTGAACGCCAGTACATCTTCCCGCAGTAGAACCATTAGGCATCACAAGCCTCTGAGACTCGAACATTTCGCGAACGTTAGGAAAGGTGAGATGGCTGGCTGGAACTTGGTGATTTTGAGGTGGCGAAGGAACTACTGCTGGCTCTGTTGTTATAACTTGACTGCTTGTGTACTGATGATGGCTGTTAWACCACTGTGCTCTATTAGAATCAAAGTCAGTGTAAGGAGTTTGCTGTTGACGGGGATGATGATCTTCAGATCCTGTATGTCCATTGGATTGTGTATAGTGACTAAGATGTGCTGGATAACGAGCTCCATGATCGTTCGGCGACTCGCTTACAAAATGGCTCATTGCTTGCCGTGGTTCTGTGTTAGCCGGGCTGTGTTGGTTTGAGTAACTGGACGTTTCGCAYGCATATGCTTGTGGAGTGTAATTTGGCTGGCTACCTGTATAACCATTGTAGTTATTGTATCCATAATTCGTCTGGTGATCTTCGTAAGAACCAGCGCGCGGTGGAGCTGTTGGGAAGGACGGCGGAGTTGCGCGGTTGTGACCATCATCACCATCCAACCCGTACGGCTCTTTCTTTACTGTCGTTTGAGGAGAGCCTTGCTTCGCTTGTAGAATATTCACCACTACCATTTCTCTATCAGGAGACGAGCWGCTGTCGTCGTCCGAGTTGTTTTCAAGCTTTGTTTTTGAGTCTTTTGAAAGCTGGTCACGATCGTCGTTAACGGAAGTGCTTGTATGATTGTCACTATTATTTGGTTCTGAATTTTCTCCAGCGGAAGTGTCCTCTGTTTTGTCTTTGTTCTCGCAGTTTTTACCCACGTCTTCGGCTTTAACCACATCTTTCTTTCGAAAGCGTTTTCTTCTTCTTAAGTAGCTTCCATTCTCGAACATATTWAGACTGTCGGGATCCAACATCCAGTAGCTGCCCTTGCCGGGTTTTTTATCATCACGAGGAACCTTCACAAAGCACTCGTTAAGTGAGAGATTATGCCTAATTGAGTTCTGCCATCCTTGTTTATTGTTCCTGTAATAGGGGAATCTGTCCATAATAAACTGATAAATCCCGCTTAGAGTAACCCGCTTGTCTGGTGCACTTTGAATCGCCATTGCTATCAGTGCTATGTAGCTGTATGGAGGCTTCACCATGTCTTGTCGTGAATGGTGTTGTGATCTTGGAATAGGTGGACCATAGAAYCTATCATGTCGCGGTTCGTACTGTCCTGCATGGCTGTACATTGGAAAATGTACAGATGAATAAGGTGACGAGGCTGGACGATAGAAATCCGCGTAGTTCTGATTGCCATAAACTGGTCCAATCATATTATTGCTTRCTGTTGGTGAGTTAGTCTGGTATGGGTACATTGACATGTCGACTAGGGACATTCCTCAGCGCGCTCCGCTCACTGTAAAACGCTACAACTGAATGACTTCAAGTCGYGCTTGATGTGTATCTCGGGCTCACAGCTCTCTGAGTCACGCGCGGATGACAGTGATTGACCAAGTCGATTCGTATTACAATTAATTTACGTAGAACCCYGTAAACGACCAATCACGATTTACCCCCTATCTGGGAGGCCACACACGCCGAGAGGGGTCCATTACACATCAGGTTTAATTTCATAGGGCTTTTACTGAAATTAGCAATCGGACAAAAGCCTTGTCAACACCATTTCAACGGCATTGATCGTTCCCGTGATTGTCAGACATGCACTGAAATGATGCTCGCGGGATGCGCGGTCATCGAATTTAACAAAACCGTAATGGCATTCAGCGGGACGATCCGACAAGCGTTAACGCAGGCGGTGATCGCTATGGCCMTTAAAACCGCATTGAAATTTAATTTYTAAGCTGCAAGACCTAAGATTATTAGTAAGGGTTTGATAGTAACTTGTTTGAGTATTGTTACAAGGTTCAAATCGTCCCGTCTCGTAACACATGGTCTATCAGGCATRCACACAAACGATTCGAACATATGGCAGCCAGTCAAGCCTGGCGCTTTAGCCTGATTGGRGGTTTTATCAAAGCAATTAGATTCCTTAAAACCCAGCTGATTTGATCGTACAACACCTTGTAAAAGTCTTTCCAGCAATTTACTCACGACAAACCTGTCAGTTGTGTTAAGAAACAACACGCTAAACAAAGGACTTAACCACTCACTAACACCCTACCAAACAATAGCACCTCTTGTCCTGTTTGAAGATCACATAAAAGGATGCAATTGAGCGTTTAAGGTTCTTAAAAGGGAGCAATTTAGGTGACTAAGAGCGGACTTTACTACAAAGGRAAAAAGAACAGTTTTTCGTAACCCGAATGATACTTTCTATATGATTTTTTTTACCGGGGGGCGTGACGGTAGCTTATCTCACCTTTGATAATGAAATCAAAGATTTTCACAACATACGAAACACATTGGGGTATTTAACCAACACTTTGTATTGTATACTAGCTTATACTCTGGGCCCCTTCATATAAAGTTTCTCATAATATTTGCAAACCTACTCAAACGCTACAATGAACCATAACTTGTCTTATAAAGATCGAGAGTAAGGTACCATTTATAGTTGATTGACTCTTAATGTAAGAGTAGCCCGGGGCTATAGCGCTTTAAAGAAAGGAGGGACTGCGATTTCCTCTTTAACTCATAAACTTTCGATAGTGTAATGAAACTATAATTTGATGTGACAATAAATAAACTTTGAACGTTGTGAATTAGCTGACATTTTTTTTTTACTTTTATAATTTGATTATGACCGGCAGTGGACTTTGAAACTGGGCTTCTTTCGCTTCTTAAAGTAGGCAGAAAAGATTGCTAAAAATACACCCGCGTCAAYTGAAAAGAATTGGTCAGATGRGCTCAAGAGATTTCRGCATGACAGATWTTTTTGACAACTAAAGCGAGAAGGTCAGAGCTCTTTCTGAAAATAATAACTGATGTGACTATGRCATGATAAGCATTAATTCCGGGACCCCAAAATACCACACTCTCGTACGTCCCACACTTCGTYTCATAGTATTTAGAAGTTWAAAAACTGGGATGATGTTATCATCGTCATCTTCGGGTCAGTTGATCGAACCCTTTCAAGGCTGTTGTATCCCATTAAGGCTCGAACCCCGCCCTCTACTTCAAATGTATCAMAATCAAGGCTGGTTTYAAAGCGTTGTTTTATCGGCGAGCTCTTGAACAATTGGAYTAAGTCATCTAGGGGTCATATACGAGATTCAAGAGAGAATGAATAAGTTATAGAACAATGTAAAGAAGGTGAACAGGGTCTTCCGCTGATCAGAAATGAGATAACCTTTGATAGAATCGGCTCATCAACTAACCTATCTAAAAGTGACTTAATTCACACGTACTTGAAAATTACTTGTATGGACTGTACGTGATTTTGAGCAAGTGATTTTGACTTTGTATTCTTTAGACAAACCAGGGCTCAAAGGTATGTACATTAATGATAATTACGCACAAAACAAGGTCTGAAGAGCTTAAGCGTATCATGCACATGTCGGTGCTTGCCGAATAATTCCATAAAACACATACACACGAAATAAATGCTCTTTGCTTTGAAATTAAGTCGTTTGTTATAATTCCATCTGAAAATAAAATGAATGAAATCTAGAGAGTTTGTCAAGTGTTACGTGGATATGAAGAGATAAAAGATAATTATAAAGAAATAAAGAAGTAAAAATAAACAAACGAAAAAACATGAATGTGGGAAAGAAGAGAGAGGAAAAAGGGATGAATTGATGGGTTTAAAAATAGAAAATGTATCGAACAAGTCTCACTGATCGATGAAGTCGCATTGTTCGGCTATCGATACAACTTCACAAACAGCCCCCACCACTGACTACAACGCATTTTTTCAAGTATTTTCCCTTAGCGCTCGCAGAATTAAAATCCGTGGTGTGGATACTGTCATATCAATGTACGTGAGTGCACAAACCGTGTTCATTGCAAAAAGTTGGGAATATCAAAATTTCAGGTTTCATGGGCCGCCAGAGTAAAATCTCACATGCGGCAAACAAAATCAGAAAATAAGCAAAAGCAAAAGGATTATAAGTAATTTACAATGAATTAATACTCTTGTAGAGTTTCAAGTTTTATCTAGGGTTTGTTGTTTTATTTGCAAACAATAGATTTATTTTGAGCAATAA